AACACTAATACATATATATGCATGACAGTAAATGATGCATATCTGCTTTTACACTGTCTGCTATGTGTTTTGCATGCAGGACGGTCGGAATGTGTGGCACATAATAACATTTAGCGCATGCACAAACTCTTCTGACAGTGCACGAGTCAAAGCGCAACTAGTGATAAGAGCTGATGAGAAAGAGCTGATCGGGGATCAGACGTACCTGCTGTCGGGTTTACTGCTTGTTTCCCGTGGCTTCATCATCAGTTGATGTTTGGAAGGAAACGGCGAGATCTCCGCCCATTGTGCGGCTTCAAGAAGCCAGGACTGCAGTGCGCATGCGCCGGTTGGAGCGGCCTCGGCTGTGTGTTGTTGAATACAGCACGCCCTCTGGTGGCTGATCACAGGTTGTAACTTTAAAAACATCAATTATTTCGGTTTATTTCATATTATTTAATTAAATTAACCAATAACTGTATTTTTCTAACGTCTACCCCTATTCCAGTCTTAAATACAACCCTCACTGTAATGGAAAAAACAGTAATTATACTGAGTATTGTTAATTTTTTATTAAATTACCCGTCTATTCCCACCCCAATTCTCACAGTGATGTAAAGATATTCATAATTGTTGTACAGTTGTACGCTAAATTATCATTATTTTTCATGAGCTATTGTGAAATTATTATTTTTTTGAATATAAAAATAACTTTAATAATTAAAGTAAAAGTAATAAACGTCATGCTGAATATTGTTAATTATGAAAGTTCCCCTTATGGAAGACCAAACCGGAAAAACTTTAAAGGATTAAATAAATACATTTAAATACTTTTAGGTGTAAATTTATTTAAAAATACAATATATCTGATTTATTAAGTCAGCATTACTTAATATTATTTTTCTTTTGTTATATTTGTTTAATGTATTTCTAATATTAATATTGTTTATTAATGTAATCGAATGAATAATGTAAAAAAATAAATCATGAAAACGAATGTAACTAAATTTGCAGACATTTATAGAAATAATTTATAGAAGTAATATGGCTGTAATATATGCATTTATTTCTCTAAATTTTTTTCTCCATGCCCTACGTTTAAAATATATATATTAAATATTAGAAATTAAAATTAAATAAATAATAAATTTGCAGATAAATAAGGGAATAAGCTGAAGGAAAGTAAGTAAATAAAAATAATAATGATAATAATGATAATAATAATAATAATTATTATTATTATTATTATTATTTTAATACTAATAAAAATAATGATAATAATAATAATGATAATAATAAAATTAATTAATAATATTAATAATAATAATGATGATGATGATGATGATGATAAAAATAATAATGAATAATAAAAATAATGGTAATAAAATAAAATAATAATGATAATAATAATACTAATAAAAATAATTATAATAATAAAATAATAATAACAACAACAATATTATTAATAATAATGATGTTATTAATAACCCAAATAAAAATATTGATAAAACATATATAATAATAATGATAATAATGATTATGATGATAATATTAATAATACTAATAAAAATATTGATAATAATAATAACAATAATAATAATAATAATAATAATGATGATGATGATGATGATGAAACTAATAACAATAAAAATTATGCTAATAAAAAATAAATAATAATAGTTTATACACTAAAAAAATCCTGGTTGCCTCACATTTTTAAGCTAAATCAAACTAACCCTATGAGTCCATTGAACTTATATCATGTTAAACTGACTCAAAACAGCCTGCATAACTTCCAAAATTAAGTTAGAACATGATTAACTTACTTTAATAAGTAACAATGACCTCTTAACACACATTTTGACATAACAAATCGATCATATATTTTGGTTACAGTGTATAGACCTAAATATCTGTGTAAAACATTCAAAAATACATGCTTAATTATTTTCTTTTACATTCTTTAAACACAAAAATATGGATACATTAGATCTGTAGTGTGTAGATGGAAATATCTGATCTTTAATTATCCCTGAAATACATCCGACTGCTTAAATCAAATAGGTTATTGATTTCATAAATAAGTGTTATTGATTTGAGCCCCAGTTATAAAATATATTCTACTTAGCATGCAATAAAATAGATTTTAGCCAAAAAACATCAACTGAATCGTCCTGTGGGCTGTGGGTGTGGAGTTATTGTGTATTTTACTCCTCCCAGTGCAGTAAATCATCATCAGCTCTCCGCTCCTCCTCCGACACCCGAAGCGAAATCAACATCTAGTTTGACGCTGAACGGACACATAACAAGATTTTACTGGAATTCGCGTTATTTTCCGTCTAAATCGCTGTCAAGGCTATTAAAAGAGCCTCAAGATCATGTCAGATTATTTCAGAAAACTGCTAGACTTCCGGAAGTGATTCCTCAGGTGAGTTTCTGCCTTCAAGTCTCATAATTTACATCAATAGTAGAAGTCATGTAGTCGAACGGTGAGAAAGTGGCTCATATATCAGTTTCATTTTAAAGATGATCATAAGAAAGTGTTTTTTGTGTAATTTACATTTAGCCTACATTTGTTTAAATATAGCCTTTAGCAAACGCCCTTATTAAAAGTGAACTTATAATGAGGCAAATATAAACACATTTAAATATCATTTCTGTATCATACAGTATTTACAGTATCATAATAACTGTTATTAAATTATAAATAAACAGCTTTAGGTATTTAAAAAAATATATAATTAATATATGTATAAATATATCTCAGTTAAAATGTAAACATTATATTGAATATATTTAATTCAATATTAGGCTTTATTAACACGTACATTTATTTATTTATTTATTTAAAATAAACAAATCCAAAAAACGTATTTATTATATTCTTATATTTTCAATATATTTGTTTATATTTTTAATAATAATAAATTAAATATATTTTATTATGACTTTATTATAAATATTTCAAACATTTTAAATGCTTAAATATGATCCAAACAAAGCGATTTCTCAAAAACAAATCAAATACTTTATTATTTATCATATCCTACACACTAAAAATGTCCCTGTTTAACCCAACATTATGTTACAACCCAGCATTTTTATCGTGAGTATTAACATATTTTCATTTAATGAATAATTCAATAAAATACTATTAAAAATAATATTTACATTAAATATGAATACCATAATTAGAAAATTTTGCCACAAATTATTTTGTAATTACTGTATATATTTATTTAATTTAGTAATAATGAATACACTAAAATAAAAATGCAGGATTTGTCTATATTTGACCTCACAACCACAACCCAACTACTGAAATATATTAATAAGTCAATAATAATATTTACATT